ACATATTTAACCTCTTGAACAGTAACACTACTATCATCTGGACCTGAGGTCCAATACGTCGCATTGCGCAATATTCTTCTCATCATCCAGCGAAGACCTTCTGTGCTGAAGAACGATGTCAAAGTCTTCTTCTGCAAGTACAACGACCCAATATACGTCAAATTGGCGAAACTGGAGATCATGTACCGCCTAGCGCGAGAAGAGAATGCGCGAGAAGTACTAGCGGAGCTTCAAGAGTGAGCTGATTCTAGTGTAACTCATGCTCTTACTGACCGCATGCAGATACGCGTCTGAAGTTGATATCGACTTTGTCCGTAAAGCTGTCCGTTCATAGGTCGCTTGGCCATCAAAGTACAGCCAGCCGCAGACAGCTGTATACAGGCCCTGCTTGACCTCATCGAGACCAAGGTCACCTACGTTGTTCAAGAAGCTGTCATTGTCATCAAGGATGTGTTCCGACGGTACCCTGGGAAGTACGAGGGCATCATTCCCAAGCTTTGCGAGCACCTCGATCTCCTGGATGACCAGAATCCAAGGCTGCGGTGATCTGGATTATTGGGCAATTTGCCAACCGCATCGACAACGCGGACGAGCTGATGGATGACCTCACTTATACTTTCCTCGAAGAACCCACAGAGGTTAGTTTCACCGTTCCTCGCAACGTGCATTGATCCACATGGCTTCACTGGCGTGCGCGTGCAACGTGATGGTCGACATAGGTACAACTCGCGCTCCTCACGGCTGCTGTCAAGCTGTTCATCTACAAGGCAACATCGGACACCACCAAGTCTCTCGTTCACAAGGTTCTCAAGTGGGCGACGGAAGAGGTTGATAACCCCGACCTACGCGACCGCGGTTTCATGTACTGGCGCATGCTTGCTATCAACCCTGCGGTGGCGGGCGAGATCGTTCTCGCCGAGAAGCCCGCCATAACGACCGACGCAGATCGGATGGACCGCGGCGCGCTGGACCAGCTCCTGCTGCACACTGGGACGCTCGGAAGCATTTATCACAAGAACCCTGAGGTACGGCAGCCTTCGTCCTGCCCAAGCTGCCCGCGCGCTAACTTTATCGCAGACGTTCATTCGCAACGCAACGGGCAAGGCCCTGGCCGACAGTCCCGCGCTGAACTCGCTCTCTCGCCAGGTTCTGGTCCCCCTTGCGCGCTCCCATGGTCTACCGAACACGGTGGTTGTCTCTGGCCCCGGCCCCGCCGAGCCTGCGAAGGCGAGCAACGGCGAGCTCGTCGCGACCGACACGAACGGCGCCGCGGCGCATGACGGCTCTGCCAAGCCCGGGCCGTCGGCGTCGAGTACATCCCTAGAGTCACCGATGATCGGGAACGACGACGACGAGGGCGTGGTGTCACCCCCGGTGTCTGCGGACCCATACGCGGGGCTGAACAACGCTTTTGGCGGGTACGTGGCAGACGAGCCGCGGCCGCAGGGCCAGGACCTGCTGGATCTGATTTAGGGTGGAGGGCTTGTATATCATTATACGGATGTAGTGTATCATTCTATCAATGCGCACACGTTGTTTTGACGACCTGTACAGTATATTGGTGTGTGGCGAGAACGTGAGGACGATCACGGAGCAGCCAGGTGAAGGAACACCAAATGGCATGACGCAACACGGCCCAAGCCTGAGACCGCCTGCAAGCCGCTGTACATAGGTTCATCGACACTGTCATGCGAGTCTATAAAACTACATATCAAAATCCCTGTCGTACACGGCATGCTGTCAGGTCTCGTATATGGCGACCCGATCCCCAGAAAGATTCCCACTTGGCGGAGGGTGTGCCCTATTATGTTTCGCAGCTGCATATCGATCTAAACACCGTCTAATGATATCAATGAAAGGCAGCCTTGATGGTGTTCAGCACTGTTTTAGGCCTGAGTGAATTGTAGTGCTGCGGTAAACTGTCAGCGCCAAATGCTCGACCTCGAGATTGAGACATCATTACCTCCCCCAGACCATATAGTCTTCGATGATAACTGATGTAGACCCGTTTGTCACCCGGCGGTAAAACAGACCCAACAGGCTCATGAACGACCACCGGAGGCTGACCACCCTGTACGACGTGTATGGGAACATTGTATACGCGACTGAGAGCTTGGATCTCTGGTTCCCCGCCCCAGATGGCGGTGTCTCGCATCCTAGTGCAGTAACCCTCGAACTGGGCTCGGGTCATCAGGCCGGAGTCGGTCGCGCCCGCAGCATCCTCGCCAGCTTCTGAGGGGAGGAAAGGCAAGAAATCATCGGGATGGCTGTGGATATAGCTTGCAGCAGACATTCGAGTCGCGGCGTAATTCGCTTGTCCGGACGGGAGGATTCCAAGAAGGGACAGTTGATCCGCCACAGCAGAAAAGAGACAATGTCCGTCCGGAGTGATCTGGAGAGAGCACAGATATGAGGAACGCAGCAATGATGCCGATTCCCGTTCCACACCTCGAACATCGTGAGGCCCAGTTCTTCGCAAGTCTGTTTGATGCTCGCCTCCTCTTCCTTGGTTTCGCGTTGGATGCGGGCGTCCGCCTCCGTGTCGTTCGGGGCGTAGCTGTCCACGAGAGCAGCAGCTTTCCTAGCCTAAGGCACGGCACATTTCAGCGAGTGTCTATAGGGATGCTGGTATGCACGCACCTGGCGAGCTTTGAAGCGCGCTTTGCTGTCTTTCTTCGCAGCATCTTCCGCGCTCTCAGCGACTTGGTTTATCTGCATTTCTTGCAGCACTGTGGCAGACTCTTGACGGACGGTGCCGTTTTTGGAGTCAAGTTGGGCCATGAGGTCATCCATTAGAGCGTCGTCGTCGGCAGTTGGCTCGGGAGGAGATGTTGAATGCGGAGGAGAGAGCGCCTTCTTGATCTTGTTCTTGATCTTTTTCGGCGCCATGGTGCGACTTCCACAGGGCCCAAGCAGACTGATGAAGCTGCAAGACGCAAGATAGGGATTCTATCAAAGGAAACGAGCAGCAAAGAATGTCTCACTCACGGGCCCACGGTTGTGGGAGAAAGCCGGCGGTGCTGCGCTCGCGGTGCGAAACTTACCCCAGGTTGAAGGGATCCCACACAAGCGCCGACGAACTCACACCGAGTTCGGGCCGGGCCCGTCATTCGTACGGTAGAGGCCGCCGCTCTCCTCCCTCGGCGAGTGCGACTGGTCTCACGCACTAGTATCTGCTCTAGATGTGTCTCATCGATAGCCCCCCGGCTCGCGCACATTCGTCTGCCCCCCACCACTCATCTTGTTCGTCTGCTGCATTTCTACATCCAGTTCCACCATGGTGCCCACCAAGGTTCCCCTGCTCTTCGTATGTCGAGCAGCATACCCCTCCGCCCCAAGCTAACGTTCATATCTTGTCTTGCAGGGAACCATGACGTTGGGAGAGCCGGGTAAGAACGGTGTCCGCATTCACGACCTCCAACAATGCCAGGAGATCCTCGATGTCTTCTTTGAGCATGGCCACAAAGAACTCGATACTGCGCGCATGTATGCTGAAGGGACGACCGAAGCGGTATGGGATCTTTGCTACGCACATACGAGATATTGAGGCGATTTTGCCCTTAGTACTTGTCGGAGCTCGACCTCAAGGGTGCTTCGGTGGACACCAAGTGCGTGCTTCCCCCAAACACGGAGCTTCAGCTGCAGATGCTCTCAACTCGGATGCCTTCTCAGGGTCTATCCAGTAAAACCGGGTGACCATGCTCCCTCTGCACTACGGGCCACCTTCCAAACCTCTCTCAAGGAACTTGGCGTCTCCAAGGTCAGAGTACTCTATTTGCACGCCCCGGATCGCAGCGTTCCCTTCGAAGATACTGCACGGGAAATGAACGAATTGTACAAGCAAGGGCTTTTGTGAGATACGCATCCCGCTGTATTCTCTTTTCGTCTCTCATTCCTGTGAAGCGAGATTTTCGGACTGAGCAACTATGCCGCTTGGGAGGTACGTCCTCTGGCCATTATCGCTTGCTCTACCCTGAAATGCGTTCCAGGTTGCTGAAATGGTCACCATTTGCAAAGCCAATGAGTGGGTGCAACCCAAGATTTACCAAGCGTGCGCCATGTTCTCTTCCCGATGAACTTTGCTCATCTCTCTACAGCATGTACAACGCAGTCACTCGCGAGATAGATGCAGAGCTCGTTCCATGTTGCAGAAAGTTTGGTCTTCGAATTGTTATCTACAACCCTCTTTCGTAAGTTGGCGTTGTGTAGATCCTACGGACGTGTTTCGAATACTGATGTGGAAGCGTAGAGGGGGTCTGTTTGCAGGGAAGATTTCGGCCCCTCACGCTGAAGCCCCCACAGGCGGCCGATTCGACGGAAGCACTGCAATGGGCAAGATGTATCGTGCACGGTACCTGAAGGAAGGCTATTTTGATGCATTGAACCATCTGAAGCCCATTGCCGTACGCCACGACAAACTTTCTTCCAGTTGTTTTCTCTTCTTACAGGTCCCGCACACAGGAGAAGCATCAGCTCCGCCTGACAGAGATTGCGCTCCGATGGTGCCAACACCATTCCGTCCTTACTCCGCAGGATGGTATCATCCTTGGAGCTAGTAGCGCCGCACAACTGAAGCAGAATCTCGAAGACTGCGAGAAAGGCCCTCTCCCAGAAGAAGTTCTCAAGGCGCTCGACGACGCTCGACTCATCGTGGGACCGAGTGTGCCTACGTACTGGCGGTAAAAGGACCAAAGACGAGATGAATTTGCACCGGTCAGTCGTGCGTGAAATCGGCGCGCCCACACTTGCTCATGCGTCAACGGATAAGCATAGTGCAGCATGTATGATTTGCAGTAGGAGCACAAGCGATGCTATCCTTCGAAGTTCCGACTTCTTTATCCTCATCAACGACGGCTTGAAACGCCTCGTCAGACATCGGCCATCCTGCGGCTGGTCCCTATGACGACATCGTGACAGCGCTACCACACCGACCAGTCGCAATGCTGGACTGTCGAGCTTCTGTCTGAGCACGCTGGAGCACCAGACTAAAGTCATGCATGCAAGAGTGCGTCATGCCTCTGGCACCCATGTTCGTTTACCGTGTCATTAAAATGCAGTCGACCAGGTATAAGAGCGGGAAGTGGGCGTAGTCCACTCCAACTCACAGGTCAAATCCCCACACTACTGCACGTCCTCCAGGAAGCGCACCACCATGGCTGGCAGCTCACTTGACACCAATCCGCCTACCGTTGACCGCCATATCACAGCCGGAGGCTGGGCGGTATTCGCCATCATGCTGATCAGCGACGCAGTCATGTTGTTTTGGCTTTTCACGGTGCGCTTTCGTACCGCAGCGAATGTGCATTCGTTGGAAAGACACTCTACTACTAGCGTCCCAGAGGAACCCCTTTGTTCCACCAAATCGCGGTCATCATTCTCACCGTTGCAACGATATCCTACTTCTCCATGGCTTCGGGCTCGGCTTCGTCCTAGTCATCGAAGAGTTCCCGCGAGGCATGGGGGGCACGCCCTTCCTTCCCATTTTATCATCACGCGATTCGCTCAACCATATTCTTGTTCCGCCGCCCGCGCCCCGCCGCTGTAGTTCGTGCGGTACATCCAATGGTTCATCACCTTCCCGCTCCTCCTCCTCGAGCTCCTTCTCACCACCGGCTTCTCTCTCTCCGGCATCTTCACCGCCGTCTTCATGGCCTGGGTCGCCGTCGGTTCCGGCCTCGTCGGCGCGCTCGTGTCGACCGGCTGCAAATGGGGCTACAGTCAACTCCCTCGTAACGCATACCCCTCGGGAACCGCCCAAAGGTATGCGTTATGTGGGGGTATGCGTTACAAGGGGGCGCCTCTCGTGGGAGTAGTCGCATGATGGCTTGACGCCGGATCCATGCACAAACTACTGCTCACCTCACGCACTCCAGGTCGCAAATCTGCCCACCCCAACAGCCTGATACCTACATACGAACAAATAAATAAGTGAATTAGATGTGTGTGTCCACCTTGTCCGCCTTCGTCCAAAAGCGCCCAAAACAACCCAGTTTGCATACCGCCCATCGGGCCCTCCAGTTGCCCCGCATACCGGGTGCAGCTTGCATCTAGGGAGATAGGTTCGTCAGCCTACAGAAAGGCTTGAAGGCTGGCGCATAGCTCCTGCAATCGCTTCTCAACAGCCTGCAGGAAGCCAGTTCAAAGAAAGGCAGTGAGGCCCAAGGGTGATCAATTGAAGGCAGAGTCACAGCGGCAACAGCGCACTTCCGGGCCCTCGGGAAGCCCACAAGCCGAATGTCACACGGGAAAATCAAGCCATCTTTGGGCGGTATGAGCATAGATTCTGGGCGCTAGTCCTGATTAGATAGGCATGTATGCGTTATGGACCCCCGGCCAACCTATGCGTTATGCGTTATGCCGGACCTATGGGTTATGCCCACTGCCCCAACTCGGGAACGGCCTCAAGCTATGCGTTATGCGTGACTATGCGTTATGGGGGGTATGCGTTATGAGAGAGTCGACTGTACTTCGCCTTCGCCCTCCTGGCGCTCTTCTACGTCTGGTACGTCCCACGCCCCTTTCTCGTCCCCCTTCGCCCCCCCTCTTCTCCCGCTCGCGCTAATCGTAGGCTGTCGCGCTCAACGCTTCCATGTCTGGCTAGTTCTAGCGCGAGGACCCTGGCCCACCACCATCTGGGGCCCACCGACGCGTCAATCCACTGTGCATGTGCCCCGCGGCGAACCTTTAGCTTTAGGCTCCGCGCACGCCCACACATGCACCGCTGCCGCACCGCCGCCTGCCCTCTCCCGCCCCGCATCGATCGACATCGGGCCCCAGAACCGTCGCTGATCTGCTTCCTCCTCCCCTCCCCTCCCCTCCCCCTGTGGCTGTCCGCCCACACAGGCACACCCTCCTGAGTTTGGCACGGCCCGCGCACGACGTAAGTTCGCCGCGGGCAGCGTCGTCACCCGCACCGGCTTCATCAGCAAAACGGGGGATTTGAAGATAATGCGTTGCAGTGCGTGATCAACGGCCGTATTGCATGGTAAGTAATCACAAGACATATCACGTATTACAGGGTGGTAGCCGTAGACGGCCATCGGTCGTCTGGCATGGCAATCTACCGCCTGATAGACGCCGGTTGGTCGGACAATTGTCTTCCCCCGCCACGCATTGTAATACATGAGGGTGCTGATGGCAATAAACGAGGGAGACGATGGCAATACCTGGCTGCACGCATTGCAGTTGTTCGACCATACACAAGGGGCGACATGGTAATCTGACACAATGATTTTAGACCCTTGTCATATGTTGGCATGTAAGACCGCATTTTGTAGCACACACAGGTTGCCACTGGTTGGATAGTGGTCGATTAAAACACGCAGTCATCATTCAGAAGAAGCTATCGGATCATGGCAAATATAATACGAGACTACTGGAGGTGTGGAGACGCAAGAACGAGAGTGAATCACGAGCTTTCCGCACTTTGAACATACATGATTAGTCATCTGTAAAATGAGACGGTGAGCGAGTGCTGCTGGAGACAAGTGCATACCATACATACCTGTCAATCATCGCCTGACGTGTAACCGACAGGCCCCTCAGTGTCCCAGGTCTTCTCTTCGCTGTCACTCTCTTCGAGCATCTGATCGCTTGTGGTCGGGGGACCCTCTGCACGCTTTTCGTGCCCACCCCCACAAAGCTCCCTGAGGTAGTATAAGTCAGTCGACGTCTCGAATCTCGATGAGCAGTGAGACTGCTCACATCCCAGTCCCCATGGGTGTCGCTCCTGGTTGGCTCACTTGTCAGGCAGAAGCGAACCTGCAATATACGTCAGAAGACGCCCGAAGACGTGTCCAAGGAGCTCACCAAAGCTGCAGTAGCGACAACGGAATACAGCCTGAAGCTGTTGGCGTCCATGACCGTCTTCTCCGCAACGGAGTTCTGGCCCGGCTGCTTCCGAGTGAGTAACCCACCCGCATCGCCGCGGATCGCAGCCGCCGAGTTGCCGTACCTTGAGTATCAACTGGCCCTTGAGGAGCCCCTTGCGAACCCGTGGCTTGGTCGGGTCGACCTCACTCAGACTCTCGCTGTTCCACATTCAGAGAATGCACGACGAGGGGGCAACGAGGACCATCGGCACGATGATCTGGGTGCATTTGCTGAGCGGCAAGGGCAGGATGTGCCTCTCCTTCGAGAGGCTCAGCCGGAGCGGGGCACTTGCCGTGAGTCCAACTGGAGGCACCAAGGGTAGCCTGACCGCATGATTGGTCCTCAGCTAGACACATTTGAATGAATGGGCTACGTACCGGTGTGCGCCTGCCACCTGGGCCCTGATCCCATTCTCCGAACCACCTGCCACCCGGGGA